GAATGCCAACAACATTCACAAAACTGCCTGGACTGTCCTGGAAAGTAATCAGACTTCTCCATTTCCCTAAAACCTGCAATATAGAGCCATTTAAAAGACGAATGTTCCCAATTCATACACTGTGCAAAATTCTGCACATAATGGCCATAAAGGAACCATCTGTAATGACAGAAGACTTCTGCTTGGGTAACAATACTGTATTTACTACCACAAAGGAATACTTAGAAAATAACAAAATCAATACGACTAGTGAAGGTGAAAATGTAGTCTGTAAAAAGCATCAACACCATTTTGTATCATACTCAAGTGTAAGATGCTGCTCAATAAACACTGTCTTGTCTAAGTCCATCTTTCTTGCCTCTTCTGCGAAACCCATTAAACTTTTGTCTTATTTATAACCTTTTTATACCTTTATATCGAAGTGCCTAGGTGCTCTTGCGCTAAAACGTGGGGGGAGGAAGAGTTCTACATTTAAGTTTACCCGATTCCCACCATTCAGGTAAAGCTTGCAAGCAATTTATTTTGAGTAGATCACCTTTTATATTGTCTTGCCATAATTTCTGCTACAAAAGAGTCATAAGCACATCTTTTTATAAGTTTATGCAAACGCAAAGGCACGTATGTCCAGTTTTTACACAAATACCTGACACACACTAAAAAAAATTCCTGGATCAGATCAGTAGCTAACCGCATATATATGGAGAGAATGATAGCCTAAAAAAACACTGATAATGCGTAATCGCATACCACCTTCTGACATAACAGATGAACCACATACCTGCTGGAGGTGTGAAAACACATGTATAGCACAAGGAATATTTACACAACCAGGCTATATGGGTCAGAACAAATTGAACCTCCCAGATGTTATATAATTCAGGTATTCTCTGAGATAACAGTTCTCCAAAATTCACCCAAGAGTTTCAGAAACTTAGACCGACTATCCTGCCCGACCAAGCAAATTATGAGGCTCCTGAATTAACTGAAAGAGAATGAAGTAGAGGAGTCTGTTCAAAACCCTTGAACTTCAGGTTGATAAAGAGTAACTGTTGAACAAGAGCAGAATAGTCTCTCTCATATCTGTGAAATTCCAGGTGATGGTGATATGAATGCTGGGTACAGGAAAGTCTCTGTACTCATCATCACTCAGGGTGATAAAATAACATGCTTCAAGAAAAAACTGGCCACGGCAATGTAGTTTTGATGTCTAAATACAAACCAACCTCTCCCAATGAGCACTAAATATGCCACATCTAAATATTCTCCTTGACATTAAAAAACCCGTAACAATATCTGATCCAAACAATTCCTCACTGGTCACTGGAGTAACTTCATCCCATCTCTCCCAAAAATCCACAGCCAATGTAAACATCTCCCATAACAAGAATCTTACCTTTAACCAGTGATCAACCGAAAGGTAAATGATTGAGATAACTTCCCTACTTTCCACGGTGTATGATTACAAAGCACTTGCACTTCCCCATGCTGGAGGCTGCCCTCTGGGAAACTGAGATGTTGCAAAATAGCTTTTGGAACTCGCAGAAAATCATCCAACAGAACTGCAGCTTATCTATGGAGCCATTCCGCAGTCATTTGCCCTGTAGTAAACTCTATCATTCTCCATAAAGCTACTTTTATTCTCCATTTCTGCCCCCGACTCACATTCAATATTGAATCAGCCAACTCAGAATATCTGTATTCTGTATCATACAGTATTATACACTGACATTAAGGCAAATAAGAAGAAGAAGAAATAAGAATGAATGAATGAATGAATGAATGAATATCTCATTCATATTTACTATTTTCTAAAAGACCATATAGCTTTCATTTCTCATTTTTACCAATGAATTAAAGACTACACCTTGCCTCCCCCCCCCCCCAAAAAAAAAAGGCCACATGCGCTTCTTCTCAAAAGTGCCCCATGTATCTAAACCCAGACCAACGTTGTCATTTTCAAACTGGTGGGTTTCTGTAATTTCCTTTTTTTCATGTCCTAATTTGCGTCACAGTATATTTACTGACAGCTGTGCAGTGACAACAGGGCCGTGTGCAGATTTGTACATTTCCTCGTACTTGGCGTCTGATGTCTGTGCACCTGGCCTGCTCTGTAGACACCCGGTGACAACATCAAAGAAATAGACATTAATGGGTCTCTTTGACAGTGTTGTTGTTCTCCTCTTGTTTTCTCAAGGTTGCATTTTTCTTAACAACACAACTCCTTATTATATGATATGTGTAACTCTGTCAAATGGCTTCATGAATAATATGCATGGCTGCATGTATGGGCATATAGGAAAATGCCAGTGCATAGGTTTTTTATTTGTTACCGTTTTACCAAAAACAATCAAAAAGAGATTGATCTAAAACATTTATGCTCTGCTCATAACTATAAAGACAGCAGTTAATGGTTAATCAAGATCTGCTTATACTTATGTATACAGAATATTATTATATAAGGAGCTCCAGCTAGAAAACAACCCTGACGATACAAAGTTCACTTCTATCAGAAATGTTTGTACATAATCAAGACAATGTTTCCCCATCACTTTACTTACATATAAGGCTTCAGCTGTGTCATAGTTGGCCATTTAGATAAATTTTTATCCACACTGCACCCAGTAGGCTTCCTTTTCATATCATCGTGCTGTCCCAATCCCCCTGGCGTATTCACCCTGTAAATCCTCTGAGGACTCGTGTCAATCCTCTGAGGACTCGAGGATGTCCTCCCGACCTCTGTACTGGTCATGGTATGCTGTGGCTGCGTGATGGTGTCACTTCCTTGTGTCACACCTGGCTGAGGGTAATAACTACTGTGACGTCGACTGCAGGGAGAAGA